ATATATATATATATATATATATATATATATAAAAGTCCGTATCTTTAATTTATATTTGAAATTGATTGTTTTTATTCCAAAAGGCAAAAACATATATATAAAGGTTGGGTGTTTGCTTTCTTTTACACGTCCCTCATCAAGCTCTCTCTGTCTTGTCTCGTTCTCTCAATCTCCTTTTCTTGTTCATCTTTCTCTGAATCTTCTCTGCATTCGTCTTTCACATTGATAAAAGAATATGGGAGAGCATCTTATTTGCCCTAGACATGGTTCTCCCATGTTCGTTTTTCCTGTTTTTGATTATGTTTCTCCCAAGTGTGTTGGTGTTAAGGTTCATACAAAAACCGTCGCCGGTAGTGAAGTGCCCAAGATTTTTCTTGAGTTTTCGAATCTGCCGGAAGGGGAACCAGAGCGATCGAAGAAGCTTCTGAATTCTATCGATCAAGTTGAGGAAGTGGTGCTAAATGAGTTGCAGAAACTGCAGAACACTCCAAGTGCCAAGAATGCGCAGAGGGTAAAGCGAGTGCGTAGTTTAATGTCTATGAGGTGATTTTTCTGCAGGGTTTGGATTTGGACAGTGATCAAGATTTAATTTGCGCTCTTTATATCTATAACTATTCCATTATAGACGGTCATGCATTCCCTCTTGTTATTTTTTTTTTATCAATTAGCATGCATTCTTGAACGGTTTTGGGTGGATATTCACAGGAGAATGTTCATTGCAGAGTTCATGCATTGTAGGGATATCATGTTAATATTGTAGATAGTTTGCATGCCATCTTCTTATTTTCATCATCCTTTGATGGTTTTTGCATGGTATCATAGAGTAGTCATATCGTATGAAGAAGTAGTCATAAGGGTGTATTTCAAAGGAAATTATCATGCATGGGGTATTATTCCAATTCCATCAATTCTTGTTGACTTTTGAAGGCTATCGAACAAGTTATGGATGAAAAGCTTGGAGGAACGGTAAGTGGTAAAAAGTGTGGTGCTTCCTCGTGTCGTTATTCATTCTGGATATATAGTTATTATGCGGTAATTACTTTGAACATATTTGTTTCGAATACTTCCATTATCAACTTTACACTTTTCGTGCTTAAGATGTCCTTTGTCAAAACAAATTGTTGGAAGGTGTTCTCAGGAAATTTTAATGGATTAAAGCTGGAAGATGGTGAAAGACTTGGTGCGAGAAGTGTTTCATGAGGTTATTTTTTGCAAGCTGAGGTCTAATACAATACATTTTTTAAATTTTACTGATTTAGATTTGGAAGATGGCAGAGGATGTCGCGGGTCAGGTTTGTTATTTATTAATTTCTTTCCTTTTAATTAAATATATATTAATGTAACCCTCTTTCTGCATAAGATTCCAAAGATAGATTGTCTTCCCCATATCGGCTTGCTTTAATCTTGTCCAAGAGGTGCTCAACATTGTCAAATGACAAAAGCATGGCAACAATTATTCCTTATATATGTTAATCCATGATTTGTAAATGACATTGACATGGGGGATCTATAAATAAATTGAATTAGGATGACTACCCAATGGATGATGATCAGTTTGAGAGGCTGAAGAAAGACTCACTTGCATTTTTCATGTTGGCAACGTAAGAATTATGCATTAGAAGGTTTGAAAGTCATTTAGTTCTTTTGAAATCTATGTTGTATTTGATGCATTTCAACCTGGCATGGTAGATATGGAGATAGAGACCCAACCGACAATGCCGCAAGATTCTCCAAATGGTATACTGAGGTTTGTGGTATTACATCATTCTTCTCAGACAGTCATAAATTTAATGTCTTTATCTCTATCAAATAGCTCTACTTAAAAGGATTCTAAACCACACATTCTAAATCCTATGAAATGAGGCAATTTTCTTGTTTGAATTCTAGAAAGCGCTTGAAGGAAAACGACTACAAGTGTTCTGTCAAGGTGGTCAACTGTTTAGAGTATCAGGAGCATATGGATGAAAACTTCAGAGCAAGATTTCTAAATTAGTTCAGCCTTAAGAAGGGTGGTGAGTGCTTTTGTTGATGCATTAATTGATGATACTGCAAGCTTAGCAAAAGCCCTAGTGAGCATGTTATTATACACTAGATAATTGTTTTAGTCAAATGGTACTGTTAACTCAAATCAGTCTACATGAATTTTCTGTTCTAGAATATCAGAGGCATTGCCGCCAAAAAGTCTCAAAATGCCCTGAAATCCTTGTGTCTTAAACATAAGCCTTCGTTTCTCTTTATTGCTGAACCAATGACTAACTTTGCTAACATCTCACTTTTCCTATGGCAGGAACTAAATATGAAATTATTTACAGAGAACACAACTCATCCCAAAAGCTCTATTTGGTGTTTATGCACTAAAACATCAATCCTTCTGTTATCTCTATTACTGACTAGTTTATAGTTGTTTCTGTCAAAACTGGTATGCACAATACTAATGCTGCAGCTCAGATTATAGGCATAGAAGGGTTCTATGGTCAGACCTAGCTTCTCTTATTGCTGTCAGCCAAGGGAGCTGGATTTGCCTAATGAAAAAATGCATGGGGGGTCGGCAGCTTTTACGCTCTCACTAACTACAGCAAACTCAGCCAGTCTACCTCCACATTGTCATTCAGCATATGCAACACAAAATGGGCTTTAGGAAGTAGCCATTTTAGATAATATAAAGTAATATACTTTTGTATGAATTGGACAAGATTCTATAACTTGGAACAAGTACAGCTGCAATGTAACATGCCATTTATTTCACTCTAGAAATCATTTGTCATCATAATGTATTCTACATTTCTACTAACTTTTAGATAGACACCTAATATATATACTTCCATTCAAGGAGCTAGTAGTGTTTTATTTTAAACAAAAAGAAAAGCATCGAAGCAGTATTATTATTATGTAACTAAGAGAGTATAAGCTTTGGCATGGTGTAAGGTTGCATATGTCAAAACCCTGAAACCCACAATAATAGGAGTTTAAAGAAGGCCATATATTCTAAACTGTATAACAACACCAAACCCTCAATAGAAACCTCACAACCTTGCCCTATAACCCATCAGCATAAACGGGTGTCGCATTTTGTGGTTTTTCCCCCAACGCACGGTCTTGCCCTATAACCCACGAATGCTGCACAAGTCTCGCCATGCATAAGATGTTTGACGGAGGGACAGGGAACAAACCTCTTGCAGCAATTGAAGTCACTATTGATGAACCTCTTGCAGCAATTCGAGAAGGAGAACGAGATTCATGAAGCCTTGTAATGGAGGTTGAGAGTTAGGTTAGAATGAAGTCGGGGTAAAGGAAGAGCAAAGGTAAAAAGAAATTGTACCCGTGCGACCCCCTTTTTCATCCGTGGGTAAGTTAATTTTAAAATTATATTTTTAACTTTTTAAAATATTACTAACTGAAAGATTAATTTTGTTATGAAATTATTTATCCATGACAATATCTAGAGGTAAATTATTATAGGAAACACGTGCCAACTTTTCTGACAAATTTTATCCATGTAAATTTCTGAGAAATGTTCTTCAATTTTATCCATGTAAATGTTCTGAGAAATTTTCAGCGACTATATATGTTACCGACAGATACATATGTAAGTAATTAAAAATTATCTAGAGAAACAAATTTGCAGGTAAAATTTGGTAGATAATCAAACATTTTCTTTTAGACAGGTCGTCAAAATGGCTTCTAATGATCGAGATTATGATGGTTGCGTGGATACTAGACCTATTGTTTTTAAAAGGAAATTAGGTCTATTAGAATATAACAAATGACACAAGGCAAAATATAGAATAGTAGACTGTTTTGATTGGGGTCACAACCAATTACCTCGCCTTATCTTGGAGCCTATGGTTGTAACACAACAGTTTTCTTACCGTATGTTTTACTGGGAGGCAGAGAGATATTCCTTTCTTCCAAGTCCTGCCTAAGGAAAAAGTAATTACTTTGATCCATTTTCATTTTTCATGCATGTATGATAAGAAAGAGCCAAAATACACAAGCTCTTTGAGGTTAGTCTCAATTTGTTTGTCCTTTGATACTGCAAGTAGTATTTTTATAAGTCTCTTGGGATTTTCATCTTATTTTTACACATTTTTCACTTTTTACCTTATTTTCTCTTTTGTTTCTTCTATTTGGTCATTTGAATTATATAAAGCCATGAGGTATGTCTTAGCTTACCATGTCTTGCATTAATATGAAGATAATAGTACTTTGATGTTAAGCTTCATTTTACTCTTTTTAATGCAGAGGTCCTATCTTGCTTAGACCATGTCCTAAATAATTTCTCTGAAAATAGGAAGACTGTATAACCTAAAGTTTTCTGTTTTTTTGCTTGACTTGTCTTGTTTGTAGCTTTAACTGTTAAAGCCTCAATGATATGTCTTCAAACATGGTTTTCTGCTATCATTCTGTTTGTTTCTTGTTACATTTTCTTGTTCGGCAACTTGGTCATGCTCTGTATAGACTTCTCTTAAGTGGCTTCTCCTCCAGGTTAAAATCTGCTCACGTATAAGAATTTACAATTGGTATATGTTTTTTAATAGAACCCTAGTATTTTTCTCTTGGTACCTATTATGATTAGCTTCTAGTTATCTGTGATTTTCTTGTCATAAATACCATGAGGGCTTGTAAGATCACTTCGAAATTTGTTGACAAGATGAGACATTTTGCAGCATGCCTCATATTCTCACATGATCCGGTAGCAAGGATAGTGACATAGATGCTTAAAATCCTTTTATTGATGAGTCTCTGGTTGTTGATTTGTATAATGAGAGTTATTGCGGTGCAGACTATTAGTGCATGGTTGTATAAAGTTTTGAAGGCATTTGAAACTGAAATGAAGCTCATAATTGCATTTTTCTTTTATATGGCTTTGAGTACGGTCTAATTGAGAAATATAATATGGAACAGTTGAAACTTGAAAGTGCGAAAGTTCTTTAAAGGATTGTTCAACAATGTTGTGTGGCTAGACGTAACAGTTCACATATCCATCACTTTGGTCTGACACTTGAATAGTCAATGGCATGACCCTAGTTAAGATTTGGTAAATTATTATAATTTACTATTTGGGGTTAGTTTAATATTAATGTTTTTCAAGGGAATTAGATTAATGCTTTAATTTTGCTTTCTTTGCTAGAAAAAAATATTATGCCTTATATTCATCATATTTGATGTTTTTTATTCGCTGCTCCAGCACCATCTAATAATGTTGAAATGGATATTTTCTGCTCCCTAAGAGTCATTCTTTTTAAATGAATAGGCTTTGCTGCCTTCTACATCAGAAACCACAACGTCTCAAGGCAACGCAAATCTTGATTCAACGACATCCTTTGTACCACCACCATCTGCATCTAATAATTTCAATCCATTAGTATTTTGTTTGTTTCTTTATAAATTCAGTATAAAAAGGTATTTTGAATTTTTTATTTTTCTACTATGTATTATTAGACTGAAATTGTGTTTGACTAAGAATGCTTCTAGTTTTGAATTTGTTTTGTTGTACCCTGTCCTTTCTGAATTTTGCATGCTTGATTGTAAACAATTAGGCGGGCGTGTTTTTTTGTTAAGAAATGTAGCATAAGAATTACTCTCTTGTATCCTTTGGTAGGAAGGTAATCTCATTGCTAATCCTGGTTTTTTTTGTTTGTTTGTCTTTTGGCAAGTGTCTACGCCATTATAAGAAACTGATATTCTTGAAGAATTCTTCCTCCTACACCATTAGTTGAGGTCACTTCACAGAAGAACTTTTCAGCTCCTCGTGATTTTCAATCCTCATCTTCCTTTTCAGCTTCATCATCACAATATGCAACTGCAGCACAAGCCTAGTTTCTTCTTGTGACGTCAAATATGCCTTTTGGTTCTGCCACGCCATCTGCAACCTCATCTTTTGGTGATTTCTTATGAGTAGATTCAACTGATATGAACAAGTTTTATAGTGTCTGGAGATGAAATATACTTTGTACTAAAAAAAATCTCGGTTGTTATTTTATTTTGCTTTTCTCAATTGATGTGTATTATATTTACTTTTAATAAATTTATGTACATGGATGTCAATGAAAGAGCATTTATTCCTAAATGTTCCTTTCTCTATTTTATTCAAGGCTACATTTGTTTGACTTAATGGGGAAGCCATCAAGCTTATTACCTTATCAGTTATTAATATTAATATTATTATTTCTATACTCAATAAGGCAATTTCAAATGCATATCTGGTGGTACCTAATAAAAAAATAAGTTGGAAACACTATTTTCTTGATGATAAAAAAATATATTTTAAACTTTAATCTATTGTAAAACCTTTCAATTATATTATTATAATCTGTTTACTAAAATTAAAGTTAGAAAAATCAGATCAGTGTTGACAATTCATATCTTTCTTGCTATGACACAGAAGCAACGACGATGAAAGCAACCCTTTTCTTTTCATGTGTAGCACTATAAATGTCAACAAATTTTTCATGTTTATTATTGCCATGCCCTTTAACTTGCATTACTACAAGATGCATATTCTATATCGATTTTCTAAAATCATTTACATCGATTCTAAAATCGATGTAGAATAGAGCTACGTAGAAAATGTATACATTTTTACATCGATTCTGAAAAATTGATGTAGATTTAAGCATAAATCTACATCGATTTTCTTGAAAAATGATGTAGATTGTATCTTAAAAAAAAAAATCATGCTTATTTGACTGTTGTTGGAGAAACCCATGATTGACCCTTAAATTGTTGTTTGTATTGATCTATATTTACATAGGATAGAGTAGAAGAAAAAACCAAAACTTCCACCCTCTAAATAGAGAGTTTATGTACGATATAATTTTCGACTTCAACAATTTATACAACTATCTCTATATACCAAATAACTTCTATTTTCATAGTCTCATGACACTCGAGAAATAAGTTTTTCACATATATATCAAAATATTCAAGTTATGCATGGCATTATCACTATAATTACCACAAGTGAGGAGATACAAGACCCCAAAAGAACAGGAAAATAAAATATAGAGTTAATCATGTTATAATTAACTATGGTATTGAGTCCAACGATTGACCAGATTGTTGAATTAAAAATTGATGCTCCTTTTTATCTATCAGAGATATATATAAGAGATACAGATATATCACTGATTCATTCATGAAATAGTATATATAATTAATATTACAAATCTACACCACCTCTTCATAGCGAAGTTGTTTACTGACCTTCTGAACGGATTTTGAAGTTGCTCACCACAATCAAATATCAAAGGTCTGCAAATGTCTTCCAAAAGGGATTCTTCCGGATAGAGAGAGATAATTGTGTAATAATTCCAATATTCCTATACCATTAGGTCATTAATTTGAGAAAGAGATGAAGGAATTCACCCAAAGAAATTTCTTGAGGAGTTAAGTGAACTTTACCATTAGGAAACATTCTTTAAAGCATGTAATAAACAAAGGAATTTATGACCTGACGTTTTTAAAATCTAGCCTAAGACTTATTTAATAAAAATATCAGTTTTAAGTTTAAAAAAAAAACTATTTGTATAAAAATGTTAGGTTTAGGTTTACAAAAAACTTATTAAGCATGATAGGTCAAGCTATTTATTTGTATAATATAATAAAAAATTAATATACATATATTATTAAAAATATAAATAAACAAATAAATTTATAATTAATATTTAAAATAATTTTTATATAATTATCTTTTTTTATTATAGGTTTATAAATTTATGATTTGTACGTGAGTGTATATCAACATCAACATATATGATTAAGCATGAATTGTCCTTCTAACATAAAATGATTTACTTTTTCTCCTATATTTCATTTAAAATTTAATTTTTTTATTAATATTGAGTAAACTATATTTAAAAATAAATTTATTTATATAATATAATAAAAAACTAATATACATATATTATTAAAAATATAAATAAGAAATAAATTTATAAAGCAAAAACAAATTATCAATATTTAAAATATTTTTTTATACAATTATTTTGTTTATTATAGGTTTATAAGTTTACGATCTTTGCGTGGGTATACATCAATATACATGGCTACACATGAATTGTCCATTCAACAGAAAATGATTAACTTTTTCCTCTATATTTCTTTTAAAATTTAAATTTTAATAATATTGAGTAAAGTATATTTTAAAAATATTTTTTTGGCTTTTTAAAAATTAAGTTTATTGGTCTAATTAACATTATTAATATAATTAGACTTTTAAATAGGCTAATAAATCAAACTAAGCTTTAAAAAGGTCAGGTCAGACTTAAAAAAAATCTATAATAAAAAATAGGCAGACTTAGACTTTAATTTTATAAAATAGGTTCAACCTATATATTCAAAGTCTAATCTGTCCAGATCTATTTTTATCCTTAATGAGTTGTTAATAAAAAAAAAATCTAAAAGGAACATGAATGTTTCAAGCTTACTATGTCTCATTTATTGTTGTTACCAATCATTAATATAATCGTTAATTGAAAGCATGATTACATACAATATTAGGCTGTCCTAACCCATCGAAGTTTGAATTTTGGTTTCCACATGCTTAAAAAACTGATTGCTTTGCTTGTGCTTGCCATTTAGGATCCCTACCCAATAAAACTATTGTCCAAAATAGCAAAGATAAAGTGATCTCCTACCTTGCCAAATAGAATAGCTTGCATTCTCCAATGAATTCTTGGCTGGTCATTCCAACAATCTTTCTTTTTCCATGTCCCTAGATTTACGTGTGATTTCATTCCAAAAGTATGCTTAATAAATCATTACCATTTTTTATTGCTCTCTTGATTTTTGATGATATCCTTAATGAGTCATGCATATCTTTTTCAATTTCTCTCTTTCATAAGTCATTATAAAGATTTATTATTATTTTTTTATAATCACCATAATTAAAACATTAAGCTCTTGAGTGATACCCTGAAATATCTCTATAGGTTTTGATTCTTTAGATTGACTATGAACTAATTTTCAATCCATAACTTAGTCACATTAAAAAATTATTGGGAACAAAAGAATTTCTCTTCTTTTCCTTACGCACAACAATGAAAAAACACATAAAATTGTCATAAAAAATTAAAGAAAGATCACACAAAAGCTTATTTAATGTGGTTCCCTCTCCCCCCACTCATACTTACATCCACGAGTATATTCACTATCTCAAAATATATTATATATATTTATGAAAATCTTCACTTTAAAGTTTTACAGATGAAACTTTAAAATATGTCTTCACAAGTTTTAGTGATGAAACTTGAAAACTTGCTTTCACAAGTTTTACGGATGAAACTTGGAAACCCCTTCTCACAAGTTTTGCGGATGAAACTTGAAAACTCTCAACGCATTTGACAAATCCTCCTTCAAAATTTTTTTGGTGAAACTTGGTAAACTTTCATTCACAAGTTTTCTAGAGAAACTTTGCAAACCCTTAGTCAAAAGTTTTCTAGCGAATATCACAACTTAATAAAATAAACCCCTATCCTATGCTCTGGATTTTTGCATCTAAACTTCTAAATGCACTTCCCATTTTTCTACATCATGAGATCTCCAATATCTAGGTTTAAAAATATTTATGGGGTTAGACATTTAATTTCATCCACATCTAACACAAACAAATCATACAACCAAATAAGTTCATAGAATTATTAATATACACACAACTTAATTAGATATTTCACCAATAACAGTCCAAATAAAGCAATATGCTTATAAGATGCAGATTTTGTCAAAATATACTTTTCAAAATCATTTTTTGACTCAATACTTCATAGAGATTTTCCCTTTTGAGTGTTTAGTGAAGCTAGAGATTAACATCACTCTGTCTAGTGATTCGGCAATGCCCCACTAAACGCAAACATCTATGGGATTGCCCATGCCCAAACACGACAGGCTACCACGACACAGAATCGAATAAAGACTAGCCATCGGTAGACACCCAATTTCGTTCGGGGGCATATAAACAAGGAAATTATGAAAAGAATTGGAGCTCCCAAGCATGCAAACAATAGGACAAGACATCAGAAGGCCTAAAGCTCAAATACATTGGTTTTAGTGGCCCGGAACGGGCTGTTCCAAAATCGGAACGGGCTGTTCCAAGCCACAAAAAAAGGCCTAAAAACCTAGTTTGGAACGGGCCGTTCCAAAACCAGAACGGGCCGTTCCAAACCAGGCAAAAGGCCTAAAATTAATAGGATGGAACGGGCCGTTCCTAAGCTAGAATGGGCCGTTCCTAAATTGGAACACACCGTTCCAAGATCCTAAAAAAGGGTTAAAAAACCTTAACCGAAAAGGGCCGTTCCGAGATATTAAAATGGCCTAAAATTTCTTGTTTGGAACGCCCGTTCCAGTTTACCAAACCGTGTGTTAATCTTATCTCTGGACCGGGCCATTCAAATTTCAAAACAGGCCGTTCCAGTTATGAAATTAACACATAACGGCCAGATCCAGAACGGGCCGTTCCGATTTTGGAACGGGCCGTTCTGGACCCTTTTTTGATGCCTATAAATAGACAACTTGGGCACAGTTTTCAGGACCCCAAAAATTTCGTCCAAGACTCTTTAAAGCTCGAAATTTCTCTCTCTCTCTCTCTCCCTCCTATTGTATTTCTTGAGATTTGTGAGGCATATTGTAGTGTGAAAGGTTGTCGTAAAGCACCTTTTCCATATTTGAAGATCCAATAGAAGCTCGTTCAAGAGGTATTTCAATTAATCTTCTTCTATATTTTATTTCTCATCTTTATCTCCATCTTTTATTTATAACAAACGCAATCATATAGATATTTTAGGATTAGTTGTATAATTTAAATTTTAAGCATGTAAATAGTCATCAATAAAATAGGATTTAATATTTATATTATTATTGCTTATAATGATAACTTTATCATAGGGTACCAATTAAGGGCGTTGTAGGGGTGCTTAATACCTTCCTTACACGTAACCGACCCCCGAACCCAATTCTGGTTATCAAGGCCATTATTAGAATTTAAAAAACCTTTTCTTTTTCCAATGTTTTGAGTAAAACATTGGTG